CCATCATAGTCACTGTGATTTTTTTGTTAAACAACATGTATCATCTGAACCACTTGCATAAGGCAAAATAACATGGGCAGCAATACAACAAATTAAAAATGGAAAGTCAAAAGGTTTCCTGGTATTGAGAAACATCCCAGGATTTTTAAAATTATTCATAGCAATATAATGACATTGAAAAGATTATAATGGCTACAGGGACAGACAGACATTCTTTTAACAAYAATCATTGTACACAAAGAACAGTGAATAAATATTATAGCAATGTATTTGAGCCTTTTACAATGAGATGATAGCTCTTTACTATATTCACGTTTTGATAACATCATTAAATTTACTACTTTGCACATGATACTCTAACTGCTACATAATTTATTTCTGTTCTCAGCTGAAACTGAGGTCTGAGCTAATGAAAGCAAAACAAGATGAAAAATGAAACATATTTCCTCTGAACAGTGATGTTTCAAAAGAATAGCTTTGGATGCTTAAAAAGAAAAAAAAATCATTTGGTAAGCTGCATATTTAAAGCATACAAGCTGAACACTGTTTCCTTGATTTCTTAGTCCAACCCATTTCAAACGAGCACAGACTCCCTGTGGAACACAGTGACTATGAAAAGAGCACATAATATTGCTGTCCTTAGTTACTAAACCTAATGACCATAAACAAGCAGGGAAGGAAAAATATGAGAAATGCTCAAACATTAAAAAAGTATAAAAAATAAAATTGCAATCCAAATCACATAGGAGAAATGGCAAAAATAATAGAAAAAGCCACATAATTAAAAACCCAAACATGCTTTCTATTGCAAACTCTTTGCTCTCAAATATAACCTACAACAGTGAGAGTACTGTATAGTCAAATCTATTTAAAATCACATATAATGACCAGTACTAAACATTAAAAAAGAAAGWGACCAAATTTGGAATATAAATCTTTGCTCTGGGCAAGGGAGATTGCTACAGAGCTCAATTAGAAGGGTGTACTGGTATTTAAGAAAATCCAGTAGTTAGAGATGCTTCCAAAAATCCACAGAAGTCCTGGTTCTTTTAGAAATGGTTTGTTGGAGCCTAGCATATTTTCAGGAACTGGAGAAGAAAAATGATATTCAGTTCTGATGACAGTCGATGCAGTGTCCATCAGAAACAAAGAATTCAAGGTAATAGTGAGACATATCAAAATGGAAGAGAAGTACCTTTATATTTACATTAAAGTGATTTTCATTTTTCCTTATTCCCCATAGTTTAAGCCATATGTGACCTATAAATCTCTTTAACCCTTTCATTATTATTTCTGAGATTTTCAAGTCTAAAGCAACCCTTTCTGCACATCAAATCAGAATCCCAAGAACACATACAGAACATTAACACTTCTTCCACAGGTTTCTAAAGTTCAAAAACATTTGCCCTATATTTTGCTTTGGGGACATGAAAATGTCTTTCAGAAACTGATGCATTTTCACTGGAGTGAGGAGCTAACATGGAGCTGATTCCTATGAACTCACCACTTTCAGTGTTTTACCATGGTGTTACAGCTCTGCCTACCTGTGAAGAGAGATATTATTTCTGTGGCTCTTGATGACTTTTAAAAAAGCATGAGCCTATGAAAAAAAAGCAAATGTAATAGTATTTTTATGCACAAATGAAGAAAAAGTCCTCAATCAGAATTTCACTTCAATGGACGATAAACAGAAAATGTTTTGTATGTACTTTAGAGTGAAAGTCTAACAAGAACATTCCTTTGGTAATATTCCATTTGAATAAGGAAAGGCTAAATAAAGCRTTTGGTATCACATGTAGTCTGATCACTTGTAATCCACAAAAATTGCATCAGAAATACCCCTGGGACTTGTTTTAGTGGTGGGCTTGGCAGTGACAGGCTAACAGTTGGACYTGGTKATCTTAAAGGTCTTTTCCAAACAAAAGATTTCTTGATTGTAAGCAGTAACAAAATTATGCTCATGTAAGAAGAGCATCTGGAAATTCTTGGAACCACACCTGTTTCCAAGCACACCTGCACAGCCACATGTAGTTTGTGGCTGAAAGCATTTTGAGACAGACACTAAAGGGTCTCTCTCATTTGGTGAATGGCCCTAATCTGTGAAACAGCTTGAAACATTATTTGATCCTCATTTWAAACAGCTAGAATCAACTCTTCCATTTTCTAATTGAAATAATTAAAGTTTGTTATATGTTGAGCAGCATAAGTGTTCACACCAGCTCCATCATTCTGAAGACAGAAGTTCAGAGGGATTCCGATAGACTAGAACTAATGCAAAAAATCCCACATTGACCTCTGCTTGGGAGCAKGTTGGAACACATATTCAATCACAGTGCACTTAATATTAAGATAATAATTGTATCTTCTAAAAATAATTTATAAATTTTATTAAATAATTGARCTGAAATTTGATTTCCATCATTTCCCCATATTGTCAATTATCCTAAATTTTTACATCTTAGATTTTTGCATCCAAAAGAATTACAGTCTGTAATTCCATCAAGAGATTAATTTCATACCGAAATACATACAAATTAGTATTTTAGGGGAAAACATATTCCCTTTTGAAGGTATGTTGCAAAGTGATGCTTACGAAAATTGACCAATTTGCCAAAAAAAACAATTTTAAAACAAAACATGCCTTGGGGGAGAAATAATGGAATAATGGAATATAATGGAAGAATAGGTTTTCTCTTTTTCCTTCAACAGCAGTATTTGCAGTTTGTTTATAACTTACAACTAACAGCCTCAAAGGTTCTTCATTGCACATGATTGTAAAGAAGCATGCACACTGCGGAGCTATTTAAGAGAGACAAAATATAATGGCACAGACTTTGTCATAAAAATGCAAAAATGAATATTTAATGTTAAAATGTGACTTAATCTTCCAAAGATTGTAACAGGCAAGAAAAACTCAGAGGTTTCAACCCATGGTTTAGGTATTTTTTAGTCTGTTCCAAAGAGTTAGTTTTACCAGAGCAGAAAAGAATGGCATATTCTTGGAAACACATCTGTAGGATCACTATTATTTCCCACTAGGAGCAAGACACAAAACAAACAACTTCGTGATTTAAGCCTTTGCACTGGATGATTTCCCAGAAAATAAAGATATGTTTTCACAGTGATTGAGGCTGAAGAAAAACAAACCATTCCAAAAAATGGGAAAAGCATCTTTCAGCAATTCCAGGACCTCCACAAACCACCAATTCAAATATCTGATGTAGGGTTATCTACTGAACAGGTAGGTAAAARAAGAAATTAAATGCTTTTAATTGCTTATTTTTTCTTGACTAGATAGATATTGCTGACAATTCTGGTTGAAAAAACAGAAAAATTAGGAGTGTTCTTGCACATCAGTCTGGTTCAGTTCTAACACTATTGGATAGAGTGGTTTGTAGCTGATAAAGGGAAAATGCATCAGTTTGGAGACAAAGGAACAGCATATTTCTGCAGTAACAGCCTTATGCCTGTAGTTCAGGTGGTCTGAAGCTGCATTAACAACATGCCTGTCTAATAAATGGTGATTTCTGAAGTTTGTTCACTGATGTCTTACTGAAGATAATGCTGCTCCTTGGCTCTGCCAAGTGTGCAACTTGCCAGAGGCATTGACAGCAAATGGAGTCATGGGGCGCAGGTGACTGGGCATTGGTTGCCACGGCATCAGATTTTAGTTTCATGGTCAGTGGTTTTCTTCTCTCTGCACAAAGATGGCATTTTGTTTCATTTTCTGCTTTTAAAAAACTCGGAATTGATTCAATGAAGGAATGGATTGTAGCTCAGGAGGCAGGGCTGCTGAAAGTGTCATTACAAAAGATGTAAGTTGGCAGCTACAAGTCCGTCAGGTATATTCTGCCAACAGGTGACAAAACTGGGAATTGCACTGCCCAGAGAAAAGCATTTGAATGTCTAACACACCTGCCACTTTCAAAATCWTGGTCTTTGTGGGTCCTTTCCAAGCCAGGACATTCTGTGATTCTGTGAGCCACTGCTGCAAGGCACACATCAAGGAGCAGAAACCCAAAGGCTGCAAGATCTGAGTTTCTGTTGGCTGCACATGGACTCAGTCATAAATCCCATACTATTAAAACAATCATTTGGTATCTAAAGTTAGATACAAATATTTCCTGACACCTCTGTGGTCACGCAGGAGACACCTACAGAACTGCATGGACACACCACAACTGCCTTGCAAAGAGACAAAGAGAAGGTTGCACCAGAGCAGGTGAGTGACTCTGAAAAAAGGCACTTGCATAGCCCCAATGTGCAAATCACTGATGAATAGAATCTTTTCATACAAAGGAAATTTAAGTTTGACTGTAAAATCTCTGTCCTGAAGGAACACTCAAATTAAGCTTTTTTCTGTGAAGGACGTASCTCTCAGATATCTTTAGTATTAAACACTAAAAAATAGCTAATACATGAGAATAYATAAGTATACATAGTATTCTTTAAAATCTTCATTAAGAATTTGGTATACCAATGCTCCTCCTTATTCAGTCTTGTCATTGATGTCATTTCAAGAAACAAAGGAAATAACAGAAAAAAGATGTGGGAGAAAGACTAAAGCAATCAGYGTGAAGAGCCTGCTCCTGTGGACAAAGCCTGAACACTCAAAATGTGAGCTCTGATATGCAAGATGACATGCAAATTTTAAGCTTTAAGGMAAAGATATACATAATGATTACAAAATAGCCATTGACAGAAACATTTAAGTATTACATCCTACATTTAACCTAAGCATACTTGAAAATCTAAGACTTTTACTTCAGTGCAGAAGATGAAATAAAATTGTTTCCTCCTTCATTCCAAAAAGCAACTACCAAAGTTCATCCCTTTTGCTAGACATCAGAGGTATATTATCTGATGCTGAACAGCTCTTTTGAAGTGTACCATACGTGTCACTTTACATTCATTACCGAACTTCTAACGTGGTTAGAACTGTTACAAAGAATTATTCTTAGAAGTGCCACAGTACTTGGAGAAACATGACAAAATCTTACCGCCACATTTCCAYTGCACCCTTGGGACTGGCAAACACCACTTATTCTGTTGGGAAACAGCACATCATCCCAGCAAGATGGGCCCTTCAAAAGAAAACCAAAGCATATAAACATCACAATTTGCTTCCTAAACAAACATATAAAACTTGGTTTTATTGCTGCTTTTCCTACTCCTATTTCTTTTACATTTTAGCTAGACAGTTTTATSATGCTTACACTGGAAGAGATTATTCAGATTATATATCAATATTCACCAGTAAAGTTCAGTCACAGACAGGACATGTGGCTCCCTCCACCCTAAGGTTAGTGCTGTGAACAGGTATCCATAGCAGGTTACATTTTCTCAGCTAAAGACAGGGACTAACTTAATCATAATTAAAAAGCTACAAAATCTCATTGTYTGGTTCAACACTCTCTACACATGGGCCTGCAGCAAACTAAGGGGGAAAAAGGGAAAAAAAGATAACAGTTGGAAGTAGAATAGACAATTAGAAAAACTGTAAATAGATTTCTTGGTGCCAGATAAAGCCTTTACTTAACAGTAACACAACATAATGAAAATGTTAAGTAAGAATTGTTAGTTGATTCCTGAATATTTATGTTAACTTCAATATTTAYCAGTAATTGTTAAAGAAACTAAAAAACTCCCAATGCTATCCCCCAACAAAACAATATAAAAACCCAGAAAAAAATTGATAGAAAATCCTTATCAAACTTTGTGATGACTTTTTGAATATAAACAGTGATATATATATATTCACTTACACGTATATATATTCACTTACTATATTACACAATATATATTCACTTACTATATTACACAATATATATTCACTTACACGTATATTACAAAAAGAAAAAAATTAAATTATCATTATTAATATTTCACAACTGTAAAATAGTGTAAACAGGATTACCTAACAAAAAAGAAAATATATGTATATATATATATAGCATATACAGGAACATTTCTAAAAATATCTTCCATCACATAAAACTAATTGATAGTAGTATGTTTTCTCTTTATATTAATCTCACACCAATTAATACTTCAATCACAGACAATAAAATTAATCTGAGCAACAGATATGAAGTTTACAGSTATCCACATACAAAGCAGAAATAAACAGCTAAGGTATCAAAAATGAAAATATTTGGTACTTGGATTACTTGGTGTTTGGGATAGAGTCACTGCCCAGGAAATAACAGAAAATCTTTATCCACAAGAGAAATTACAGCAGTCAAGGCATTAACCACCTTAGTGAAATCAGTACCCACTTGAAACACAGCTGAATTACAGAGTAATCCATTGCCACATGTAGATCCATGTCCTTTTAATTCTGTGTGAGGCATTTCTTTGGCATTAAGTAGGCCCAGCTGAAATTATTTCAGAATTATCTTAGTGGTGGGAACTCAGTTATAACAGGTTGCTCCAGCTATATCATAAGTTGAGTAAAACATCTTAGCCTTCACTGAGCTCCGCTCAATGCTGTCATTGAGATGAAGTGCTGGCATTTCAGACAGGTGAAAAAAGCAGCTTGGAGACAAGTAAGTTGAATTGCAAGCAGACACAGGGGTGACTAACCATAGTTTTGAGTCCTTGGGTGGACACAGCTGCAGTCTAACCAGTATAAAGCAATGTCTGGTCGTGTTGTTGTCAAAGGGAGTCTACTTTTTCTCTTTTCAAGCCTGGAATTTCAATCCATAAAGACAACATCTAACCCTTTGAATTGTTAAATACAACCAAGACTAGCAAGTTACTATTTCCTTAAAATCTATCCCTCTTCCTACACACTCMAATTTATTATCATACATTTGTTATAATATTTATTTTTCCAAATTTGAGGAATGCAATAGTTRTTTTTTAGCTTCAGATAATCCTTACATAATTGCCATTTAGGAAGAGTACACTTGAAAAAAAAATATGAGAAATAAGAAGGGGGAGTGCTTTATAAACTTGGGATCTAAGGCGGTATGGAGATAGGGAAGAACACTCATTAAAATAAAATAAAAAAACCCCAGAAACATAATTACTCAAACCCCAAGCAAAGCCATTTTTTTCCTCTGGTACTGGTAACATGGGACAGTGATTTTTCTGTTACTTCATCTTTGTGTGATTTATAGGAGATTCTCRAAGTTAATGATGCTACACCAGCATGCACACAAAAAACCAGTCACACCAAGATAATTTAAAAGCATCTTGTAGAAGCAGTTCCACAGGTATGTTATCAGCTCTGGTACTAATTATATTGATTTTACAAGAAGAAAATATTTCAAAACTAAACTTCTTAGAGGAATTAATATTTTACTTCACTGAAGCTATTTCAGGTGAAAACTTTCCTACTTAGTTTGCAGGGCCTGGGTATATAACCGTAAAAATGTAAGAAGGAATAATAATTCTCATGCTAGAAAGGCTGAGATTCTAGAAAAATGCTTTTTAAAAAGAAAGCAGAGTAGGGGTGAATTGATGCAATGTTGACTACCATTCAATTTTAACCACTACAACTAGCCCTATATCAGGTCCAAATATGCTTAATATGGGAATTAAGAGTAACAATAATAAGATGAATTTTGCAGTCACCTTTAAAGTTCTTATCTCCAAGGGAAAGCTAGCAATACTGAACTTACAGTGCTCTCCCTCTCCGCAATAATTTCCTCACGACATTTCTCATGCACACAGGAGTACTTTGCACACAAAGCAGCTCAGTATTTGAAAYAAGAAATGTCATCTTCACTAAAGGCATGCTAAAAGCATATCCACAGGGACCTGGGAGCACAGTCCCACGCTATCAGCAGCTATCAACTGTTCACTTACACTGTAGCTAACTTGTTATTTTTTCATCCATAAAAACCCACATCCCATTTGTCACCTCTTTAACTCTTATAATGGGCATAAAAGCCGTAAGAAAATCAGATGCATTTAACTCCTTTGGTAACATTTGGTAACAGGCCCAGCTTTAAGTCAACAGTGGTTTCTTTATTTCTGTTCAAGCAAAATTAGATCAAGTCCTTAAGGCACAAGAAGGCATTGATCTAGCAGGCATTATAGACTGGCAGAATATAATTGGTTTCAGCCTTTCTGGCACTGATGAGTGGAGAGGAAAAAAGTTATAAAACAATCAATTAGAGAGCCACTAATAGATAGAGCAACTATCCTACACCTCATTTTCCAAATTAGGAAGAGAAAAAAATCTCCTTTTCTACATCTGTTCTTGGCATTCTTCAGGGCCATATTTTATTATTAATGCTAACCTAACACACCTTCAAAAGATTTAGCGTGCTTGAAAATTTTAGTTTTCTACCTTCAAACAAAAATAGAAGAAAAGACATTTGTCCTTGAAAAAAAACAGTGCATTCAAAATGTTAATGCTTCTTTAGCGACAGTACTACTAAATGTCATTGCTATAATTGTGTCAAAATACAATTAGGAATTCTGGCAAGATAAACACTTYGAAATGCAATTTYTGTATMATTCTTTCTTGAGTCTAAGAAAAGSCTGTCAACCTGCAGGCCAGCCAATCACTTGTGGTGTTATAACATCGCATGCTGTAGCGTTTATAATTATTAGTTTGCGCTAATCAAGAACATACTGTGAGAGGAACAAAGCCTTCTGATTGCGAGATTAAAGCAACTGCCCYTCTCGTACCCAGCCAAATGGCTCACAGAGAAAGCTGTGCATTAAAATAAACRCATCAGGGAAGACTTTTCCGGTGTATGAACGGGAAAATGGCAGAATAAAGAAAGAAATAGAAAGAACACCACTGAATAGTCAAAGTCATATCAAATGTACTTGAGTATTTCCYAAATAACTCAGTATGGAAATTTCTGTGCTTTGGGCATATGGCAGTTGTTCCCCACCTTTTTGAGGGGGAAGACAGGAAAAAAAGTAGGCAAATGGTATATTAAACTTGAAGTGCAACTCCTATGCAGCATATGAAGAACAGGGAGGACAGGGTTTTTTTTCAATGCATGAGGGGAGTACTGGAAACCTGTGTACATTCCACCAGTATATCGTACTGATGCCCAATACAGAGGGCAGCACAGTACACTCTACTCTGTGCCTTTTTAAACAGTAGCCAAGATCCAATTATGAATTGTAGAACCAAAACGGAATTTTCATCAAGGACCACTTAAAAAAAAAAATCCCCCAAACCAGAAAAAATATCTAAAKATCTTGGATGACAAATTATTCAAAATGTGGTTGCTGACAGAACTGTTGACCTGTGAAGTCAGGGAAAGGTCAGAAGCAGAGGTCAGCAATAGAAACCAGTGATTCATCAAAGACTCTGAATCACTTAAAAGGCTGGAAACCATCCATGCATTCAATGCTTTGTATTTTTCTGCTTTATATTCTCCCCCAGTGAACAATATGCAGCAGAACATCATTAAAACACATCTTTGTACCTGCTACTATCTACATGAGAGACATAAATCATTAAAATGTTGAGCAAATGACCCAAGCAAGGAAAAACTATTAATGCAGAAGGATTTTTAAAGTTATGTAAGAAATAATTTCGGGTCTTGAGAGGATTTAAAAACCAGCATACGAGACACTAGAAAAGTGCAAAATCTTCTCCAAACCATGCAAATATTCAGGCTTCTCWGCAAAATTAAGACTACTGACTTCTCTATGTGAGAGTATTTGAATAGCTAAATATTGTTTGGGGATCCCTYAGCATGATTTTGGCACTTTGAGACAGTAAGACAGAAAAAGCTTCCCCAAATACAAAGATTACTCAATAAAAAATTATCTCCTTTTTGCCAYGTAAACAGGGGTATCCACACCAAGCTATCACAACTCACTGCTGCTTCCAGTGCTGGTACAGATGGATAACTCTGTCTCCCAGACATAGTAGGAACCAAGATGTATCCTAATGGTGAGCATGCATCTCTCCTATAAGAAAAGGCCGACAGAATTGGGGTTTTTCAGCCTGGAGAAGTGAAGATTTATAGGTGATCTAATTACAGCCTTTCACCACTTTTAGGGAGCCTACAGAAAAGGTGGATGGGGACTTTTTACAAGAGCATATAGTSACAGGACAAGGGGAAATGGCTTCAAACTGAAAAAGAGTAGGTTTAGATTC